AATCCGCGTCCTCCCGGCTTGTAGCAAAATGCCTGAGCAGACTATGCAACCACGTGCCCCATGCTTGAATTATAAGATACTATAAAATTCGCCTTCGTTTTGAGTGTTAGTACCGTCTATTTCGGCCCAAGCAAGGTTAATCTAAGCGTTAATGCTTCCGAAATGTTTCCAGCAGGTGATCGGTTCGAATCTCGGCTTGAATTTCAGCTATCTAGGCTAAGGATTTTCCTGGTTTTCCTCAGCCTCTCCAAGAAAATACCAGGACATTACCTTAATTAAACCACAAGCGTTTCTCCTGGAGTCCGTTGTCTTCATTAGAATACCGGACGATGTACGAAGTCCATATACCAAGTAATCCTGAGTAAATATAAAAGAGTCAACCATTTTCAGAGAAAAGTTAATTATACCGCCAAGGTTTTGCGCTGATAGTAATACCAGAGTCTATCGATGGCGGTACATCAGAATCAAAGGGCTCGCATTATTTGAAACCATGATGAGTGGTGTAGTAATGAATATCGAAGCTCAAGCAGTGTCTCCTCAACATTGGGCCTCTGACAAGTGCTCATGATGTCAGCTGAGGGCTAATATTTGCTCTGCACTCCTGCTCCACTAGGTCATCATGATTTGCCGGAATTCCAGAGGTTGTGAAGACCGCAGAGGATTGGGCACGAGCCTAGTGCACCACTTTGGCGTAAGCAGACATTTCCTTCCCAACTGCAGTTCAGAAATCTAACCACTTGAAACATCGTACTCAGTGATCATTATAAGACACCAAAATTTCGCATTCTAACTTCATGGAGCTGAGCCCTTCTTGACAAGCCATCAGTTGTGCAGCTACTCAAGAATTTCCCAGCACTTTATGAAACCCGAAGGTTCATTACCATATTCACAGAGTCCTCCACAGGTCCATATCATCAGCCACATCAATCCAGTCCATACCACCCCATCCTATTTCTTTAAGATCCATTTTAATATATTATTCACTAACCTATGTCTTGGCCTTCCTAGTGGACTCATTCCTTCTGACTTTCCCACCAATATCCTATACGCATTCCTCTTCTCCCCATTCGTGGTACATTTTGCTGGTCTTCCAGAACACGTGTAACAGTACTCTAATGAAAAAGGGGGGTGGGAAGGAGAACCAGAGGGGTTGAAACATACAGCACACCAGTAGATGTATGACTTGACTGTTGCTGGAATGCTTGCCAGCACAAAAATGTATTGATATTAGTATATCATTTTCTGAGTTAATAACAATATTACTATCAACAGGCTTGGTTGTTGGATGGTCCATATAAAGGTGGAAACACTGAAGGAAGAAAAGCAGTAACAATTCATTCATTCATCAGTGCAAATTTTATACAGATATTAAAAGAAATAAACGGGATAGTGCACTCAGTATAGAAACTGACTACAGGCTGGAAGACTGAGGAGTCAGAGTTTGAGTCCCAGTAGGGTCAAGAATTTTCTCTTCTCCAAGTCGTCCAGACTGACTCTGGGGTTCACCCAACCTCCTATCCAATGGGCACTGGGGTTTCTATCCCCGGGAGTAAAGCTGGGGCGTGAAACTGACCACTTATATCCCCCCCCCCAACTAGTTCAAGGCCAAGAAAATGTGGATCTATTCATCCACTCCCCCATATGCCTTTATGGCGTAGTGCTTAATTATTTAAGCACAGGGACAACTTTATCATTCACATAACTGTAAACTGTTATATTGCTGCCACTCAGTAACACTGCTGACTAGTGTGTAAGGCTGACGACCTCACCACCATCTGTTAGCCGATTGTCTAGAAAATGTGAGGGCCTCAACGTCTCACAGCCCTATGGGCCTCACGACCTGTTACAGGGATAGCTTTACTTACTTTACTTTATGAGGAATCTCAGAATAGGTGAGATTTGAAGCCAGAAACTCCTGTTTGAAGTCCAAGAATGCCAACGACATAATTACAGTGATTAATGCAGAATGTATAACTAAATGCAGTAGAACTCCCATTTTTATATTTCTCAGTGCGATGTTTCCAGTCATTTAACTGTTCCAAGTCAATAATATTAGTGCTAAGTTGCCTCTGTTAAAATTTTCCTCAGTTTAGTGGCCAAATACAGTGATAGGCGAAGAAGCCTTAAATTGTAATTCCACTATAGATTCTAAGATTTGAACCAGACTGAATTGGCTTATAATAGGGCTCTCAGATTGCATTTTTGTGTCTGGTATGATCCTCAGGACAGAGAAATACAAAGGGATTATCCCCTGTTAGCTATCTATAACACTTCTCCATTCCACCAGCATGGATAATTGAGAGTTTGTGGCACATAATATTTATTTAACAACTACAGTTGCATTTTATACATTTTAATATAAAAAATAAAATACATATACAAGACATAACAAAAAGTGGCAAAACATGAGTAAATACAATATGCTCACAGACACAGTATGGTAATTGATTTACCATATTTAAGATTAAAAGCCGCATTAAAATAAATGCTGTATCTTTTAAAAATCTATTAAATTGGTAAGAAATGTTCAATAAATATATTTTAAGTCTAAAACATCCTATTGTACACATGTGTATAATTGATTTTAACACACCAAATCAGTAAACATCTCAATATTAAGATATGTATAAGAGAAGCGACATTAAATGTTATAAAGAATACCTACAGAGCACAATTTTTCCAACTTACTATGATTTGCATGTCAGTCTAATTCTTTTTGGATCAGCATCTATTAAACCATTATAGTTATATACTCTTATAGATACAATCACTCTTGTACATCATTTATCTGCCTCAGCTTAAACTAACTCTATAATGTTCGATCCGTGGGTCTCACAGTGTTGACTGTGAAGAGTTATATATTCTGGGATGTAGTGCCATATTGCACAGCATCACACCCCAGAAGAGATGAATCTTCATAACTCTCTGGTCCTGTTAATGCTTGTTACCAACCATTATCGTGTCCTACACCTCTTCTCACAAACCGTTTTCTCAGAATTAATTCCATTATTCAAATATCTCCTTGGTTTTTAAATTTGTCACTTCATAGAAGATTTCCATAGTTTACATGATAGCCTTAACTTTCGAATGACTGCAGCAATACATTTGCATCCTGTACTTCAGAAAGTATAAATGTGATCTTGGAACTGTTTCAGTGATTTAGCGCACCAAGACTAGATGTGGTTGTTCACCCTGGCAGGGCATAACAGTAATTGCAATATGTACGTCATTTCTGACTGCTCAAACAAACTGAATCAAGTTAACAACAATTTCATATCCTTCAAGTAAATTAGGAATTACAATGAAAACAGGAAATAATCAATTTTGTTATCAAATCATTACATAAGAATAAAAGTATGTCATTATAATGACAAACCAGTCACCTCAAAACAGGAGTATAGCCAACTCCCAAAATGTCATATATATTAAATGTCAGTATCTTGGACAACAGACCACTGTTCTCAAACCACTGGTGGTCCGTGGCAGTCAATCAAATGAGTATATGACATGTAATAAATCAAATAATTTAAATAAAAAACTGTGATGAATCACTATTTAAAACAATTACTTAAAATTGGTGGATAGAAAAAAGTAGTTTATGGCAACTTTTTAACTATAATTTTTCTCCTTTTTGCAAAAGAAAGCACAATTGTATGCTCTTTATAGCTAAAGGGAATGTTTCAATAGCTGAATGGTCTGGAGTTGCTAAAATTTTGGGAAACACTGCAACAGATAAAGTCCAACATAATCATGATGTAGTTACTGAACTGTTCAAAAACTTAGATTGTAGTCTTATGGGTTTTGACATCACGTAGTCTTGTATGTGATGCCACAACCCACAAGACAGTATAAATTTTCAGAGTCATGAAAACCTTAAATTTCTTACATCAAAACATTTTTTTTTTTTCCTGTTCAAGACAAATTTATCGGTGACTAAAAACCTGCAACTGAATTTGATGCTGAGCCAAGGTGAGCTCAGGTCATATCTGCATAAAGTTTACCTCTGAGGTCCACTGTAACATTATTCTCCACATCTGTACTTTCATCTACCATGTGATCACTTCATCAGTTGTGCAATAAAAATTATGTATACATTTTTTGTTTTCCCATCTGTGATCCATGCTAATTCCATCTTAATCTTTATCAGCCATGCTCTGTATTATTTTTGTATTGGAGCATGTGCACAGTCTGACTGGCTGTGTGTTGCAATTTCTCAATACTAACATCATTACATATAAGTTAAATGAGATTTTCCACCCTGAAGCACTGTAGCATTTAAACTAACCTATTTCTGGCTTATAAAGTTAATCACACTAACCATACTTATGAAGGTTATGCACCGCGATTCTCCTACTTATGTAACTTTCTGTGCTGTGTAATAGCTTAGGTGGTTAGTTGCTGCTGGTGAGGTTTACGATCAGCCCTGGATGGTCTATGTAGGATCTGTGATGAACAATCCTCACAAACATCACCTAATAGATGCATTTCAGGCTCCAATACAAAATTTCATTCCCACTCCAGTCCTAACACTATAATTCATGTATATTAATTTTATATATTCTTCTGTTTGTCCAGCTACATAAAATATAATTATGGAAAGATACACTTTCTGTTTGTATTATTTTTCTTCATATGGAGTCAGACCATACTGATGTATTTGGAATAGTTCCAGGTTTAAGTTTATTCAATTCTTCTTCAGAGTTTTAGAAATCAAATATATTTCAAGTTGAAGAAAGCAGTCTTCTGGGATGTGGCACCGTGTAGATATTGCGTTAACTGACGTTTTGGACGAACGTATCACCACCATTTTCAGGGTAGAAGAAAAAAGAAGAAAATCTGCAAGTGAGGAACCAGCGTGAGCAGCTGCTAACAGACTAAGAGACTGGTCTGTTAGCACCTGCTCACGCTGATTCCTAGCTCACAGAATTTCTTCTTTTTTCTTCTACCCTGAAAATGGAGGCGATACGTTCATCCGAAATGTCGGTTAACACAATATCTACACGGTGCCACATTTAAGAAGACTGCTTTCTTCATATTCACTGATGTCAAAACCTCAAATCTTACATATTTCAAGTTATTAAATACTTAACATTAAACTTTATTGTATTGCTTGTTATTAATATATTCAATTTTATTATACATAAAACTGTTGTCATACACACACCCCTATCTACTATATAAAATGTAAAAAGAAAATACAAAGCATTATAATGAGCACATCATCATCAAGGAAGAATACAGTCATTAATGACTGTTCAGTTACAGGTGGCTCTTGTTATACAGTGCTGAGTTCTAAAAATTACCATATAATAAGAACTACATAAAAGAGACACTGAACAAGCATTTAGCATGATGCAGAAGAAGCAGTTAATGACATGACTGAATCAAAATTGTTAGCTGAGTCAAGGAAGCCATCCAAATAACTTGCTGGGCATGTGTGGTAGCTTCTACTGCGGCTCTACATAGGAAAATGATAATCCCAATGACACTGATACAAAACAGCGGATAACAAGGGTCACCTACATTGTTCTTTTGTTGCTTGAGAGAGGTCTTCCAATGTTATGCAGACATCCAGCTTGGGTAATTCTTGAATTATAGCATTATCCCTGTAAACATCACTCCCTTGATAAAATCTTCTTTGTCTATCAATCATTGTCAGTTGGTTAAAAATTACTGACATTTCAGGGGCCACCTCTGTCCCCATCGTCACACTGATGACGGGGACAGAGACAACCCCTGAAATGTTGGTAATTTTTAACCAAGTAACACAGCTGGTAGCCTGAGAAAATATTATTGACTTGACTGCCATGAAAGCTTCAGGTCTTGTCTGTAACGTACCTATGGTTCACCTGGCGTGTCATTCATAAAATGTATACAGACCAAAATATTAATGGCATATCACATTAGTTAAAAACCACTGGAGACCAGTGTCCAGACAACCATTTGAATACAGTAGGCACACTATGCAGTGTTTTCTCTTTTTATGTAGTGCACTGTGACAGTTAATATCACTAGTCCCAAATGAGAGAAGTTATAAGCTAATAATAATTTTGTTTGTATGCTTCCATTACAGTTTAAAACTGTCAGTGAGGGGATGGACATATAATTAGGTTAAAATGTCAAGACCATTCTCATTAATTTTATCAAGTGTCAAAAGAGTCTCAACAGTAAAAGTAGCCAGCATCTATGGGTAAGAAATCACACTGATAGTGCATAAAGGGTTACATCAAATAAAATATTTTATGGCTCTTTATATTCAATGTCTGTCCCCCACTTTTGACTACATTACACAATTCATTTGTTGATTAGTGAGATGCAGTTAAAATATTAAAAGCTTATACACACTTTACATTAAATTTGCTACCTATCTAAAAACACCAGTAAACATTTCTTTTATATCCTCAGGTGCAACAGTTTTGATTAATACTACCAACCTTCTGCATTGCATGGAACAGCAACAACAATTACAAACAGATCATTTTGCAACACCCTTCTGGTAACGGAGTGCCAAAGAATCAGCAGGTGGTGGTGCCCGAGGTTTTAAATCCCCAAGAGTATGCTTGAAGATACTTGGCTGTGACCTTGATCTTGGACTAGATGCTGATCTGCTTCTGCCAGAAGGCTGCGTCACTTTCTTGTGAGACAAAACATTTCCTGAAGCTGAAGGTCGTCTACCATGAGGTGATCCTAAAGGTATTGACACTTGAATCTCTGGATCTTGCAGTGTTGATGGTAGTGTTACAGGAGGAGTCTCCCTCGTCTTAGACTTGGACAAGTTATAAGGCAGATGACATACCACACATCGGCTGTTATTCAGATGATCTGAATATAAAGGTCTGGCAAACATTCTGTCATCTAAAACATATTTGTGAACACCTGAAACACAAAAATATCTGTGATTTAATGTCCTCATGGTGATGACTGTGGATGTTATCACATTGGATGTGACACCATGTAATTTGGTAGATAGGTACTGTCTATCTTCACAGATATGGCTGGAGTCAATAGAATGCACAATGGATTTGGTCAAATCCACTGAGATAAGGGTCCTATGATGTGGATCAGTCACAGGCTTTCGTTACAGGGCATCATCACACTCCTTATCACCCTCACGTTCACATAGCAGCTAAAACCACTGCCCCACTGCTTCTTTCCACACTTCTTCTCACATGCAACCCAGAGGGCAGACATAAAAATACAGCCTGTACCAACATTTCAGAGGAACCAGTTGCCTCCATCTGTCCACTGACTCTGCTCTCGAAAAACAATCCCACAACAGGCCACTCTTTCCCCTCACTTCTTTCTACCCTGTGTTGCTCAATTCAGAACCACAATACTCTCTGCCTTTTTGAAATGATCCTTTATTTAGTGCAGTATTTTTAACAATGTTCCCCTTATTCGTACTGATACGCTCACAACCCCAGTCCTGGTTCTCCTATATCCATCTCGCTACTCCACATTTAGCCTACTCTTCTACCCTAAAGATGAACGCAACAGACTTCTCCGAAACATCGGTAACAATACTGTATAGTGTAACATCCCACAAGTCAGTCATCTTAGTATCAAATGTTTCTGGTTCCACCATCTCACATGCAACACGTCTGACAGTTAAACCAGTAACATTTGATACTATGTGACGTGCAGCAGGATGCTACAATATAATATCAGTAATCTTCACAAAAAATGTCTCTTAATTTTGTGTTACTTTAAGGAGGCATTCCATTGTGAAAAGGAAGTGATGGACATGAAAGTTTCCAAGTTTTCAGTGTTCTTGTATATTCATTCATATTTAACATAGAAATATTTTAATTCTCCACAGAGGAGCATGTCCTCAGGTTGAAGATGGAGGAAACAGCCTCTAGGTATGGTGATAGCTGAGAATGTGCTCAATAAGCAGTCACAGGTGACATCTGACAAGGAACCGTCCTCCAGCTTTAGGGTCTGATATGTGGCTAATAATTCTGCAATGTACGAGGGAGAGTCAGTAAATAGGTCACAAATGGATATAAAACATAAAAAATTTGGTATTCAAACCTAGAAAAGACATTAATTTCTTGACATACCCTCCACCAACACTGATACATTTTTTCCATCACTTTACAAGTGTGTCAAAACCTGCAGCATGGAAGTCTTTCAACTGTTGTCTCAGCCACTTTCACACCTCCATTTCAACCTCTTCGTCGTCAGCGAAACATTTTCCACCCAGGTGTGAACTGCTTTATATGACAAAACACTCCCCACCATAAACAGGAAACATTTCTTTGTGAATATCCTTTGCACCGAGTCCTTTTGCTCACATATAACACACAACAGAATGCTGCTCTTTAGTAGCACACTCCTCAAGCATGGTCATCATTTTGACCAGCCTCTGAACATATGCAAGCATCTGCTACCTAGACTGTCATGAAGCTGAACTGTGCTGCTATCTAGTGATACATATAGAAAACCTATTACATCCATTACAGATGTTTTACTTCCATTTGTAACCTATTTACTAACTCTCCCTTGTAAAAATTAGCATTCAGAATTACTGGGTTTTCAGACCTTGTTCACTGCCCAGTATTCCAAAAACCTAGAGAACACGATTCAGAAACTAGATCTGTTTCCATCCTCAGGTGAGGAGGGACACACCTACTCTGCTGGGTCCCTTGGAAAGAGCTAGCCTGTTACGAAGTTTTATACAAGGCCTCAGACTTGGATCAATCCTTTGGAATCTTAATCAGAAATCCCAATGGGAAGATATGACTTTGTGCCCTAGGTATAAATGGAAGGAGAGCATTAGATTAGATTTGAAAGAAACATGGCCTGAAGATATGGAATGGATTCTTCTGGCTCAGGATAAAGTCCAATTATGAGCTGTTGTGAACACAGTAATGAACTTTCATGTCCCATAAAAGGTAGGGCATTTCATGACTAGCTAAATGACTCGAGAAAGAGTATGCTTCATGGAGTTAATGCGTTCATTAAAAAAAGATAAATTTATACCAGCACTTAATTAAGTGCCAAGCCATGAAATCATGAGGGAGTGGAGGTATATATCCTTGCATTCTTAACCTCCAGACAGGGAGTCCTAGTATCCATTGGATGAACTCCAGAGCAAGAGAAAAGAGAAATTTCTGTGCCTGCTAAGAATCAAACCGCAGTCCCATCATCCAGCCCACAGTCTATTTAGTATACTGACTGAGCTTTTTCACATCCTACAGCTTTCTGTAACAAAGGCAAAATGGACATGTACGAGTATCTAAACGTAAGACCATTAAGATATGTAAGAAGTGTTGAGGCACAAGATGTAGATGAGTATAGTCAGCTTCACAACTTGGCTGCCTATATCCTGCAGAAAAGTCACAGTACGCACTGGCCAGCAGATTGGTAAGGCCCTAGAAATATTCTAAGTAAATGCTAGCAGAGATGAAAGTTCAAACTGCCCTGCTATTTATCATGTAATCCCATTGCTTTATTGGCCAAGTTATCACAGTTCCTGTATTTAATGTTAATCTACCCACATTTCCAATATTTGATGAAACAAAGAAATCAGAACCTCATGAATAAGACTTAAATCTACAAACTACTTTATAAAAATCATCTGCCAACACTGTCACAGTATGTTTCATATTTATATGAGATTTGAGCTCGTCATGACAGTGAGCATTCAGATTAGTCTTCTGGAATGTGATGTCATATTGTTTGGTAGATAGGTACCAAAATGTTGGTGCTGCCTCCATCTTGAGGATCACTCTTCTCCCATGTACACTAAGGACACTATGCCACAGGTCTCCATAACACAGCTTTGATGAGTAAACATGTTTCTGGAACCCTAAGGGAAGATTACAAAGGACTGGCCAACACTGAATATTATCTCCCATATGTATTCCTTATGATTTGATTTAAACATTTCTAATATAATGGAATCCCCTTGCAGGCATCCCAACTCTGATGTAATGGTGGTATGATCCTGAGTTACGCCAGCAGTAGCATACCTACTGGTAGTGTCTCCAATGCTGGACAGGTCAAAGGTGATGATCCAGACAAAAAGGCATACCCTGGTCTTCCAGGGTTGGGCCTGGGGTTGACGACTCCACCCCATAAAAAGCATCAATTTCTAAGAGGCTTTTAATAATTGCGGCTGAATGAAAACACCTAAAACAATGGCTTACCATAACTGAGGACTTACAAGAGGGAACCTGGAATGTGCTGTCCCTATATAGAAGTGGGGCACTTGGGAATTTGATGGAAATACTTGCTCTCAGTGGCTGGATTCAGTTGAAGATTTGAAGAGAATGGGCACTAGAAATTGGAGACAAAAATCACCAGACCAGGACCAATGGCAAGCAATCATGAAACAGGCCAAGGTTCTTCATGGACTGTAGCACCCACAAGAGGAGGACGTGGTGGTGGTGGGGAGAATATAAAGGATGAGCTTATATTTGCATAAGTTTATGCTCAAACAAAATGGAGAATACCAAAATGACTATATCAGGTGACTGTGGACATAGCAGCGGACCATTTTAACCCATAATAAGTGGGAAATCTCATGATCAACTGAGTGACTCTCACCTTCTCAAGAATCCACAGAATGAGTGAAATTCTAACTAAATCTGTTTAGGAATGCAGCTCATACCAAAATACGTGCATATAAAAATATCATCTAATAATGAAGTGGCTAGAAAAACACTAACACAGACACAAAGAATGCATATTGTGACATGTTGCGCTATGGAGGACACCCCCTCCCTCCTCAGCGGTGACGTAACACGGGATGCCGCCGTTGCTACTCAGCAGTAAACAACTCCCGACAGCGTTGCTAGGCTATCGGCAAACACAGCGTCAGACAACAGTAGTGCCTATTACGTAACTGTTTTCTGTGTTGTCCGTAATGGGGCTAAATAAGGAGCAGCGAAGACTATTCAAGTTAGTTACGAGTTGGCCAGGGAAGAGTATGCAGTCTAGTATTTGTAATACTGCAGATAGCAGTAGTTGTGAGACTGTAATTTGTGTGATTGTATGAGCAAGTGTGAAATAAAATTCGCTACATCCAATACGGCGTGAAGTTATTTGTCGCGTTATACACCCAACATGTGACAATATTAAGAATGAAATAAAATTCCCATATACAGTCAACTCTCGATTATCCGGGGGCGGATTAACCGGTTTGCGGCTTAACCGGGGCTACTGACGCTTTTTTGAGGCTTATATGTTGTTTAACATTCATTCACTTTTGTTTCACATGGCGAGTTGTAACACTATTTTCGCACTAGTGTGAACCGAGCTCTGCATTCTTTGGTCCCGTTATGCTAACACAATGTTCTAGGGTAGGGGTGAAAGAATGCAAGGATTTGTGGAAAGTTTCAAGGACAGATACATCGCCCCAGTTAGTATCTTTGTATTGATCTTCAAGTGCGTTAGCAAAATGTCAGTCTGTAAAAGGAAGCGTGTTGTGTTAAGTATTCAACAGAAAAAGGAAAATGCCGTGAAAAAGTAAACGACAATATTAAATTTTTTTAAGTGTTAAGTGTGAATGTTCGTAAAAAGTGTTGGATGTTGTCGAAGACTGTGATTGAAATAACTAATTCATACTTCAGTGTAATGTAAAAAAAGTATTAAATAGGCCATGAGATGACATAAAAATGAGGTTGAATAAATTTAAATGCAGGTAGGCCTATAGTATTATGAAGGTACAGTATTACAGTACTACTTTTAATAAAATTTGTCTTAACCGGGTTTTCGATTAATCGTGATTTCCATCCCCACCATTATCCCGGATAATCGAGAGTTGACTGTAGAAAGAAACAAATATTAAACACACAGCTATGCCACATCCACTTATATATATGTCAAACATATGGGAACACAATTGGAATAATATCGAACAATCCACAAACCACGAAGTACAACAAGAAATGACTAAAGTACAGCATAAACAACATAAAATACACAAGTTAAATAAACAAGTAAAAAACATAGCACGTAAAAATCATACATACAGTTCACAAATGAGGAAATACAGCTATTAAGTAAAGGGTTAAAAGATAATTTATATCACAAACATAAATTGACTGAAACATTAGCTCTGGAAGCAGAAACAGCAATAAGTCAGTCAGATGTGAAGGGACAAAATCACTATACAAATGCGGTTGCATATACTATCAGAAGTAACAGTAGTAATTCCGGATATTCAAATCGTATATTAAACATGGGACATACATATGGAAGAATAACAGATACTATGGATGTTATGACGACAGAAGGAAATACAGACACTTAAACACCTGAGAAAAGTACCACATTTACAAAAAATAGCAGGAACAATTTACACATGAATGATACACACATTGAATCATAAAATTCTATATTCCAAACAGTACGTGAACCTTACGATAGGTAGCAGTACACACACTACTACATAGATATTTAAGTGAGAACAGCTACACCAAAATCAGTATAAGGAACACAAAGCAACGCTAGATACACACAGCCTAGTGAATAGTACACCCAATGGGACATGTTAAGTACAAAGAAATACAACATCTAATTACACAAAGGTAGTATCAAAGAGAGAATTATATTAATAAACATGTATTGTTCATTGCAGAGAACCAGCCGCAAGACAAACATCCTACAACATCAACATTAATGATAACAATGACATGCCTTCAGAGTACTATTTGACCAGTACACAGTCTGGCTGCGCCATAGCTCAAGCGGCTAGTTGCTGGCTTCCCACCACAGCGGCCCGGGTCTGGTCAAGTGGGATTTGTGGTGTACAAAGTGGAGCTGGGGTGGGTTTTCTCCGAGTACTTCGGTTTCCCCTGCCAATCTTCATTCCACCAAATTCTCCATCATCATAATCAACCAGGGCAGGCTACAGTAGGCCTATCAGTGGCCGCCATGCCGAGTGGACCCAGTTGGACTCCACCCCCCAAACTAAGCGAATTTAAAGTACACAGTCTAGTAGACTTAAAAAATGCGTTGCCTGAAGATGGCCCTGTGTGGCTGAAACATGTAGCACAGCACAAACACTGAATGCATATATTTTAACGACATTTTAAACATATAATGAACATTTTAATGAATCAAATGTCATTAAGTGTCGATTAAAGATTAAACTTATATTGTTGCATTATGGACAGAAAACAAGACTACAAAAAATTAGTGAAAGAGATTGTGAATGGGAGATATATTACAATGTGGCAAAAATATTTTGAACAGAAATGTTAGTATCATGAACTCAAAGGACATTGTACAGACTTGCTGTAACACAGAATACAAAACAAGGACAGGTTGCTTACATTTATGGCTATTGGGATGGATACTTCCTACATCCAAGTTTCTTGTAGCATCTCGACTTGTGCCGGCTGGATGAGGATAGGCATGGCAATCAAACCAATGTGACTGTCGGAATTCATTCATCTCATCAAACCATGAGCCTCGTCCACAACACTGAGGTTGTATGTGTTTCTTATCATGTTCACTCTCCACCAAGCCTGCCCCTACATTGCTCATTATCAGTGGAGTCTTGGGGGTGTGTATCTGCTGTGTGCTGCAGTCACAGCAACACTTACAGGGGCTTGATGAGGTCCTTGGATTGGCGAGTCCCTGCTGAAATATACAAGAATTAGAGCGTGATCAAGATTACATTCTTCTGGAATGTGGTGCCATGTAGTTTGGTAAATGGGTAACAATGTGTTGGAGGTACTGCTGCCTCTTATCATCAGAGATGGAGGCAACAGGTTCCACCAAAACACTGGCAAATGCCTACTGAACTACACATCGTCTCATCCCAGAGGAATGTCGTTGCATACTAACTGCTCTGATACTGTCGGTTTTCAAAAGGAGTATTTTTGTAACAAGAACAGAGAGAGAGACAGAAGTTTAATCCCTTAATGAGTATGCACATACATGTGTGTTATCTAACTTTGAGCTCGGATGCACGTATCTGATGTTCATAAAATAGGCACGTATGTATTTGATTATTCTATGCACCTATTTAGACTGTATACACTTTTAAGTGTTTTCAGCTCTGAAATAATTACAATTTGTTTGACTAGCAGTTCTCACAAAAGTAACTATGAAGAGTATGAAGGTGTGCATCTATCTTCCAGGGTTATAACGCTATGTAGTTTGGATAAAGCATGGTGCTTGGAAGGACCATGTCACATCTATCTCAAGGGCAGAGCAGTAAACCAGGTTTATTTTCTGGCATACCCTTTAGCCTTGAAGATGGAGTCAGTATATTCCTCTGAAATGTTGCACTTTCTCCAAACGACATGGCACTACAACACAGAACACAGTATAAAAGATCTAGAAGTTTGTGACAATGTTCACTGATACAGTGATTGACTTTCTGGACATCCATAATCCAGACATAAGGACTAACTCTATCAATTGGGTCCAACTGAGGATGGAGACGGAGTCCAGTCTCTGAAACACCATTTAAAAATAAGACAATGGATATGTCCAAAATATCAATCACTGCAGAAGACTGTCTTATGTAGACAGTACTTTTAAAATAAAATTTGTTCTAGCAGTGGTGACACAAAAGAAAGTTGGAATGCACTACAACGTAAAAGGCGTACTATTGTCCCTGTGCATTATTACAAACACATCACGAAGATGTATGCAGGAGTGGAGGTATAGCTCCATATTCATAACCTTTGCATTAAGAGGCCATAAGTAGTCAGCTTCATCCACAGGTAAAGAGCCCATGGAGTCCATTGGACAGAGGACTGGGTGGGGCCATGAGCTGCTCTGGATATAGTGGCAAAGAGAGAAAATCCTGACCTCTCCTGGAGATGAGACCCTGCTTGTCGAGCTTGCAGCTTAGTCACTGTGCTCACTGAGCTATCCTGCATTCATACTGCCATAACGTTTTAGAAATTCTTACCAAGCCAAGAATGTTCGACAATGACAGTGACTATAAGTCAAATAACACTTGGACCAAATTTCACATTTATTGGAATTGTAAAAATGTAAAGAAAAAGCTAACCTTTCTATCTATGTTTTGGCAAGAAACTTTGTAAAACAAAATGTTAAGCCATCCATACAGAAGGTAACAGAAAACTTTGGACTAATATGAAATTTAAGACGTACAAAAGGTTGACACAAAAATTGAGGGCAATTTCCTGTTTTTCAGGTTCCCTTTCATTATCATTGTATCATTCTTTTGTCGACCTAAATTTTCAATATGTGATGCAGTGACCAGTCACAAATTGTCCTACAAATCACAGCAGTAACTACTCTACCTTCATGAATAACATACAGAGGACAAACTTGAGACAAGACTACGCTTTGTGCACAATGCACCTGAAAGATTCAGGGGAACAGATCATTGATTGAGAGGCACTAAAAAATACAAATGTAAGTTCCTAGACACAGTGAAACCCTAAAAAGTGAAACATAACTATAACAATTTCATACTGATTCAAAAATCTTACATTTATGCTTCCTGGTATCACTGTTATCCTGAATTTTTGTTTAGTTAACAATTTGGCAATTGCATTCATCACATGGCATCAAATAAGAATTAACAGGCTGATAGTGAATAATGAAATGAAAAGAAAATTAAAATTGTTGCATGCTGACAGTTAATGAAAATCTCTGTACAATGCATTTATATGAATTTTATCCCCAAGATCCTGTCATATAAAACAGGATTAAAAAACAAATTTTGATTCAAAATTCTAATCTAACCTCATTTGCCAGTTTTACTTCTTTCTCTTTTACAATACTAGGGAAGTTTTCTGTGGATCTGATGTCCTCTTTGACATGGCAGTGGCAATTTTTCCTGTAGCAAACACGTTTCCTGTTCTTCCTAAGTCTTAACTCATCATTACAAGAGCGTCTCAGACTGCGACATGGAGACCTTTTAGTGGTGCCTTGCTGATTATGATCAGAGATCAGTCCGTGACCATCATGGTCAGAGGGCAGTCTAGAAGAATGAGGAGTCTTGAGTGGACTAGACTTCTTTAGATTTGTCTTGACAGAGCCTACTTTTGTAGGTTTCATAAGCTTAGTTCCTACTGTACTCTTATCAGAATATGAAGACTTCTTAGGTGGTGTTACAGAGCTCAACTTTGCAGGAGTTCTTATGTTCTCTGGAGCAATGAAATCACCAACAACTTGGGACCTTTCCTTCAGCTTCTTTAGAAACATCGATTTAGGAGAATAATCAATGATTACATGTGCTGCCTCTAGGGTTCTTCTTTGTTGGTTCTCTGTAATTCCAGTATTCATATTATATTTCACTGAATGCAGTTCTACTGGCTCTTCATGAATCTTACTGCCAATATGTAAAGCGGATATGGATCCCTCACTTTCCTGTGATGATATATCTGAGTTTGTTCTGTCCCTGCCAGCATCTCTTTTGCAGTAACAGTCTTCATATTCCTTCCCACTGTTTCTTACATCAATTGCAGTGGATGATTTAAGATGGCACTTGCAACATTCACAGGGCAGCACTTCTTTGATTCTGGCCCTTGACTCAATTTGGACATTTTGTTTACTACGTTTAGCTGGTGATGTAATATCTTCCACCTTTTGTTTATATTTTACATTGAGTTCCTGACTATTCGAACTGCTGGAGCTTAAGGTGTGTGCTGTTGCATTCACAGCTGCTGCCACTTGACCAGAGTAATTTCTTGCTTTCCAGGACTCATACTTTCTCTTTAAAGGTGATACTGGGAGATCCTGCCATGGTTTCTCTGAATATCTTGCAGCCCTGAAACCAAAATTTTTGTGAACTACTTATATAACGGATAACATATATTTTAATGTGCTAGATGAAAATGACCTACCGAGCAGTGCGTTTTAATTTCTTCAATCTACGTTTCAGTAGAATGGAATTAGATTCAAGCTGATCCAGAAGTATACGATTTCTTTCTCTCAGTTTAATTATTCTATGGTTACACGGAGAACTCATGCCTGCAGGTATTTTGTGTCTCTTAGTATCTTGCAGCAAAATAACTTCACCGTCATTTTGACTCGATAAACGTAAAACAAATTTAAAATTGATATCTCCAGGGTGTTAAAGTTAGAAGGGAAGTTTCTTCACTGTCGAATGAAACGTGCAGCACCCAGTGAAATATTACGTACGGACAGCCGAGTTTACCAGAAGAATCTTAAATTAATTTAATTAATAATCCTCGCACTATATCTTTCAAAGTGGCATATGTTACATTTTTCTGTCAATGCGACAGTACATCGTATTTTACACTTTGATTTACGGAAATTTTCTAGGCATCATGTTGGGCGGCCTGGTAGCATATGTTGCCTTTATTTAACAGTAAAATGTTGGTCTTCGTGAGTATGGAAGTTTAAAACTCTGTAGTTGTTAGTGATATTATGTTGTTGATTTAGTATGAAATAACAAAAATCAGCTAATATAAATGTAAGTAACACGAACTCTTAAAATTTTATGAAATATTAATATTTATATGTATGTGTTTGCATTCATATTTTCACGAAACTTTCCCCATGTTGTTAATACATATCATTTTGCTTAACACAAAGGGATATGTAAGATGCTAAAATAACTTTCTAGGGATTGGTTGGAAATTTAATGTAGCATTACTCATGCACCGTGCTGAGTGTATATTTTGTAATATATTGGTTCTGCAATAGTAACATAACCTCGTAACATTTAAGTTACATAAAACACATTCTAAACTGTTTCTGATAGCCGGATGATGGTGATGACTATTTTAGGTGCAGCCATGAATTTCTCGCCATTCGGAGGCCACTTCCCAGCAATGCACCAGTTTGCAACAGCCAAATTTGGCAATGAACAAATTCAGCCAGGCACCATGCTTGTAACAAGCGCATCTGATGGAACAATACAGTATATACGACCAGAGCACAATGGTGCAAACTTCCTTCCTCCAGGTGTAAATACTAATACAGTCCAGGGAATCCCAGTGTCCATTACATCATCTGTGAATGTTCCTGTTTCGGCAGCTGCTCGTAGCATCACAACAGTTCAGCAGCAACAACAGCCGCAACACCAGCATCAGTTGGCAGCCATGGTAAACCAGTCAGCAGGTGGCACCAAGTACCATCACCCACATGGAGCTCTTCTTGGATGGGGTGAAGTACCTTTGGTGCATCATTTTAATGACACAGGGAAAAACATCACAACAATAAATGTTCCTTATCCTAATCCAACAGTAAATTCTACAGCTATCTTGGCAGTTCAGCCAACACAGGCATCAGGAGTGCCAGCTGTAGCACCAGCAGTGTGGCCTGTGAGGTTAATGCAGAATGTGTCTACCATGACAGTTGACGAGTCCGAGTCAGAGCCGCAGGATCTATGCAAAGCAGGTGAGAACATCAAACCAAAGTTAGACATGTCCAAGCGAGATAAGGAATCAGGAGAGAGTGAAGATGATAGTGATGATAGTTCAAAGTCAGATGTAGAAGGGCCCTCCTCCACAAGTGAAGCTGAGCAGAATCACCCAAAACAAGGACTCCAAGTGCCAGTCAATGTAGGCCATGTCACAAATGGTAGTGGTCAGTTGGAGTGTCATCAGATCCAGCTGCAGCAGCAGGGATCCGCAATGGCCGACTATCTTGCAAGATTGCAGCCTTCCACAATCCCACTCAGCCTTCAGCACTTCCTGAAGTACCAGACAAACAATGTTGCATTGGCTACAGTGTCAGAAGTCAAGAGAGAGGGTGAGAATATTCCTGTGGCAGTTCCAGGAACCATGGGGCCTGTCCAAGAAGAATTACCAGCTGTGTCACTCAAGAAGAAGAAGAAGAAGAAATCCCCTAGGAAACCTCCACGCCCAAAACCCGGAGAAATCCGCCTGTCAACAGCATTGGATGGTTCAACACTGTTTTGCTGCCCTGAGTGTTACATGGCATATCCTGACAGGGACATGCTGGAACAGCATCTAGCCGGTCATAAACAGGAACGCCGCTATGTGTGTAATGTCTGCGGAGCTGGTCTTAAACGTAAGGAACATCTCGACCAGCACAAACGTGGCCACAGTGATGAACGGCCATTTGTGTGTACTGTATGTATGAAGGGATTCAAACGAAATGAGCATCTGACACGACACTACGTGATTCATTCAGGAAACAAGAGCCATTCTTGTATCGAGTGTGGCAAGGCATTCTCTCGCAAAGACCACCTCCATAAGCATGCCCAGACACACATTGCCAAACGTGTGAAGGCGGAGTTGAGCCAAGCAGCTAGCCTTGATGGTAGTGCAGCCCCTACACCGATTCCCACGCCACCTACCTCCATGACGATCCCTCACGTGATCCACCATCACCACCAGCAGCCTTTGACTCACCCTTTGCACCTCCATCACACCATGTCCTGAGACATGCCTTGGGATCGTGCAGACAGTATTGCCTGCCAGTTCTTTTAAGCGGCTTGGCTTCAGGCATTTGTTTTTCATTTACAGAGTCACAGTAGGTTGCACTTCTGCAGTATTTTGCAGATATGTATTCCATAGCATGACACTAGATATTACTGTAACGTCTGTTGAGTGAAGATGTGCCCCCCTAAGTTTTCCACTTTTCTCACATTTTGTTGAAAATGTGTGTGGATTGTAATCAAGATTGTGGTTTTGTGATATGATGCTGTGTAGTTTATGGTAGACAGTAACATTTTGGAAGTACATGCCTCTTCTGTCGTCTCTGAAAATGGAGTTTGCAGGTTCATCTGGAACATTGGTTTTTATCTACTGAACTACATGGCCACATGTCCCAGAAAACTATAATCGTGATATGCATTATCAGTACTCAGTGCCTCAGTTGTCATGTGACTTCTAATGGTTGTGGTGGAATAGCAGCTTACTTGGACCTTCCATATATGGTCTATAAAATGAAGCATGTTTTGTGGTGTTGTGATATCTGTGCAGATATCTTCACCTGTCCACATGCCCCGTAGCTTATTACCCATACATTTAGACCAAACACACACAGCTACTCACATAGTTAATTCTGAAGAAGTATTGTGTTTATAAAAATTATTAATCTCAAGGTGCTAAATAAGTACCCATATTTTAGGTACATCTGAGTCAGAAAGTTCTTAACCAGTTTGTCCAGTTTCCACTGATTTTGTATCAGATATTTGGACAGACACATTTCATAGATTCTTTAAACAGAATGTGGAAGAAGTCAGAGTGCAGTACAGCACCCCTGATAACATACATTATTACATGACACAGGGACAGTTATGCAGTTAGAACTTAAAAACAGACTTCATGTTTATGCAATTTTATATGACTTTTTAAAATTATTTTTAGTGAGGACTAAAGCATGATGAATTTATTTATTTAAAAGTGAGTAAAAGTAAAACTGTCCCTGGAACAGGCCGTGGAGGCCCATAGGATTGTGAGACGTTGAGGGTCCCACATTTTCCAGACGGTCGGCTCTTAGATGGCGGTGAGGTTGTTAGCCTTACATGCCGGCTGAACTTTTACCCCCCCCCCCAATTGAAGATTCGTGGTACTCATTTCTGTTAGAGGCAGAATCATCCCCATAGCCACAGTGCAGCTGGAAGGATTAGGTCAACTGAAAAATCCACTGACCCCATCAGGAATCAAACCCGTGACCTTCCAACTTGTACCATAGTGCCTCAGCCAACTATTCTTATGAACTCACTTGTCTAAAACAAAAACATAATTTATATAAGGGCGAAATGAATTGTATTGAAATTTAGCAGTTGAACCAAAGAGTAAGTAAAATTTTTAGTTATGCAACCACACTTTGTTACACAACTATTATGTAACCAAAGGGATACTTGTAAATGATTTTGTAGAAGTTATGTAATGCTGTATATTTATAAATAGCTAGAATTACACCACACTCAGAGTATGTTGATTAACACAGTAATTACCAAGTAAATTACTATGTACAGGAATTCCACACACTTAGTTGACCATTTTTATATATTGCAAGCCTAACAAAACCAGGTGATCTCAAGCCTCATAAGTGTAAAAGATCAAGGGGTATACAAAGACAGATGGACACAAAATGATACGCAGACAAACAGCAAGGTGATCTCATAAGCCTCCTTTTTTTTAAATGAGAAGAGTAGGCTAAAATAGTATAGTTTTCAAACAGTTAAGATTTTCATTGTAATCTAGTTATGATTGGTTAGCAAGCTGGTTGGGCCCCAGAGCTAGTCTGGATGTAGTTGTGAAGGGAAATATCTTGCCTCTACCAGGAATCAAGGCATGATTCAGCATTTGAATCCCCCCCAGTTGCAGTGTGTGAAGGAAGAAGAAATTTGGGTAGGACCTTACTGCTCCTACTACCTTATTATTTTCATCATCAGAATTTTTCACGAAGCATACATCAGTTGCACATGATTTATTATCTTGACCCACTCCCATTTCATAATTTCATACAGTAAATCTGTAGCAGATCCATATATGTCATGAAAATTTCACATCATAGAAGACAATAGTTCTTATGTAGAAAATGTAGTGTGGCAAATCTTTTCTCAGATGAGACATGCACAGTCATATATAATTTTATAAAAAGTGAACAGAAAATTATTAAGTAGAGTTTTTAAATATTTTGTGAAAAATTAGTTAGGTACTGAAATAGTGCTGAAAACTTGGAATACTGACATACTCAGTTTAGCAGAAGAAAGAAGTTCAACCCAGTTTTTCCTTTTCAGGAGATGTTTATTTATCAGAAAATTCTGAAGAACTTACAGATTCGCTTAGTGGGGGGTGGAGTCCAACTGGGTCCACTTGGCACAGCGGCCACTCATTGGCCTATTGTAGCCTGCCCTGGGTGATTATGATGATGGAGAATTTGATGGAATGAAGATTGGCAGGGGACACTGAAATACTCACAGAAAACCCGCCCAACGCCACTTTGTCCACCACAAATCCCACTTGACAAGAACTTACAGATTTTGAAACCCTAGATTTAGATAGTGTTTCTCAAAGTTTCTCAAATGAAGTCTTGCCCAGTGACATGGGTTGCTTCTGAACTGTACCTCATGCTGTAATGTGCAAACTCAGGCAGTTTTCCTTTAAGCTAAGATAGTGTATATAGCAGGCTAGTTTTATTTGCTTCATATAGTCTTCATGTAGTTTTCCTTTGTAAAGTTTTCATCCTCATATATACAGGGTGTCCCAGGAGGAATGTGCCAAACTTCGGGAGGGTGTTCCTTATGTTAAAGTATGCCGATATAACCCAAAACACCTATGTCCAAAGTTGAACGGTTACGGAGATAATGGCCCGAGAAAAGTGTGGTCTTCTAGCGGGTCCACGGATTATACCTATCAGCTGAGAGGAATTATCTCTGTTTGTCCTTGACTGCCGTGATTCATCCTATCCGTGCTTATGGAGTTGGCTTTATCAGAACGCGCAGTCAGCACGTTACGTCATCGCTTACCATTCATGTGTCATGTACAGTGCTTGGAACTCTTAACGACAACTTTGAGATGGCATGCGAGTTTTTTGTACTTCAATTTTATGGCTTCATGTCACTCATAAGTTAGTTTGATGTTACGTACATTATTAACGTTACAGAATCCACATATTCCTGCCAGTTTTAATATCTATTTTGTAATCAACAAGTGTGTAACCCCGGTCAAAGTTTGACACTTCTCTGGCCATTATCTCCGTAACCGTTCAACTTTGGACATAGGTGTTTTGGGTTATATCGGCATACTTTAACATAAGGAACACCCTCCCGAAGTTTGGCACATTCCTCCTGGGACACCCTGTATATATATATATATCAGTAAGGATGGGAAATTTTGGAACCCACGTTGTGAGATTGAAATTGGTGTTCGGATTATAGCCTTCTCAGTTGTGACACATTGTATGTAGTCTTGTGTGTGGATCATGAAAGAAGGACTGCATTTTGCATCACACATTCCCTGAAAAGGGCCATCTTTTTTTCTCACAATTCTCTTTTCCTTCTCTTGATGGAAAACAATATTGTGAACTTGGCAAGGGTTATTTTCCTGCCTAGCAATCCAATTGGCCTGGATTGGGCTTTCCCCTCTGGGTCTCAGTGACTGCCTTTCTTGCAATTTGCCAACATCACCCAACAAATTCCTTACATTTAAACTCTGAAGATGCCAGCAATATGTTCCAACAGAATGTTGGTATTCATGTACAAAACTATACGGTGTAAACTTGGAAGACTGTAGTTGGAACAGTCACCACCATCAGAGCCTCAAAACAGATACCAGTATTGTCTCTCAGGTTTGCATTATTGTTTTTGTGCCACAGAAGATGAGAAATTGTGATTTGAGGTTCTCACAGCAGTCGATATTAGGGGCATTGTGAGATCATGTAGTTTGGTAGATAGGTACCCTGAAGATGGAAGCAACAGGTTCATCTGAAACATTATCGCCAATCTACAAGACTATATAACATTATTTTCCAGAAGACCATGATGTTAACTTTCAGAGATATCTATTACATAACCATATTACAGATGTTGCTTCTGTGTAGACACAATTTATAACAAAAACATTAAACATGGTTCAGAAACTGGATCTGTTTTCATCACTAAAATTAGGGAGGAATCTTTCCTACTCAGTTGCTGCAATTTTTCAGTCATTATTTCCCACTGAGGGTGTTTGATGCTGGCAGAAAATAAACTCTGCTTTTAACTTCTTGCACTGTCCAGTGATTGATACTAGGAATCTTTCTATCCTTATGCCTGTGATTATAGAAACAAATCTAGTTTCAAAATCATTGTGTTAAGAAAAATCTTTCAATTGGCAATGTCCAAAATAGTAGCCATGTTTAATGACATGTTTTTTTTTTATATAGGTAACTAGGTACTGAGCTTGTATTGTGTTTGAGAAGGCAAGAATTGCTGAAAACTATTATTTTGGGCTTTATCCATAATGTGAGTTTATTAAAACCATACATTATTTCAGAAATTTATTCTATTTCTTTCAGAGGGTATGAAAGAAAACCTAGTATATTAGTTTCGTAAGTAAAACTGCTCGCAAACCATGGGTCTAACAATAGATTTTCTTTCATATCCTGTTTTCCTGAAGATGGGTATATAACTTAGATGATGAAGTCCAAAATAATAGCTGTAGACAATGTGTCACACCATGGTCAATAGCTTTAAAATAAGACTGATCTCATTTCTATAATTTTCATGTTATAGTACATGTTGCTTCGTAACTCATGCATCATTATCTTTGACACTAACCTAACCACTTAGCCACGTTTAGCCATGTGGAAAATGGTTTTGAATGTAGGGTTTAGAAGTTGAATCAGTACCATGTTAACCTATTTTCCAGTGATTTTTATTTTTGTACCATTATTTCTGCATGTGAATAATAATTCATTTCATAAGAGTTTTCAAATGGTTTGCATCTTTCTGCCACAGAAGCATAATTAAATGTATGATTTGTGTTGCTTTCCTGCAGTGTAAAGCTCATTCTTCCTGCATATGTTTGGGGCTCATAGAAATCACATTGCTTCATCTCTTCATGTCAGAAGGACAAACTGAACCACGTGTTTAGACCGCTGAGTTACAGTATGTTACTTATTCCCATTCTGTAGCATTTACAGCCTCTATATATTGTGCAATTTTGGCTTTCTGGGTTTGGCGTACTTTCTAGTTCCCAGCATGAAGACGAATAACTCAGAACAAAGATGCAAAAAAAAAAAAGAAAAACCCCTCGGAGTTGGTGTTGAGGTTTGCACATTTGCCATCTTGTGGAACCTTGACATCATGTAGTCCAGTAGAAGTTCACTGACATTTTTGGAGGAATGTCCTACTTCCAGCCTTAATTTTCAGGATCAAAGATATTGCAGCATGTGGATAGCTGTTACTAGGTTACGGCCCAGTAAACGACTTATAAATGTAATAGTGATTTCACACACAACAGAGGAACACATCACATCTGCAGTGACATCATGCAACAATAGGAGAGCTGTGGGAAGCAGTGTTGCCATGTGATCTGGCACCAGGCAGACAGTGCTGCTGCACTGGAACATGTGATACCATGCCACCCATATTAACAGGAACAGTGTTTTCTCTTGAGTCCGCTCAACCGACCAAGTTGAGTGGAGTGAGTTGGTTCATGAGTCGTGAGATGGGCAACAGTCAGAGAGGACATAAAGCCATGAACACTGAAGTTGAGGGATCTATGGCATTGGAAGCCATTACCAGGCAGCGACTGGTGAACACATAGCAGACTGAGAAGACTTACTATGTGCTGTAGTGAACTGCAGAGTATGTGCATTAGCAACAGTAGTAGAGTCACTTGTAGTTACTGTCTGTAAGTGTTCATTAAATCCAGTTACCAATCCAAACCTCATCTGCAGTAACACTTATACACGTGACAATATGCTA